CACTTAAAAGGTATAACAAATTTTGATACATCTACAAAAATAATTGCAATATGTTTATTCATTAATAACAATCATAAAAATCCGTAGTCAGAAAATACCACTTCATTCTATCAGTGGTAGAGAGGGCCTTTTGTTGTTTTCTGATTTTTTGTTTGCTTTTAAGTGGAAGAGTAGTCACTGTCTGTTAGGGAACATTGAAGTAACTTGCGGTGGAAGCATAATTAATGCAGACTTTGTAGGAAATGGTCCAGCGTTAAGCATATGGTTTGTGCTTAATGCATAAATGCTTAAAGCATAAGCATTTAGCATTAAGGAAATGGTTTAACATAAATGGTGCATATTAAGAGCCTTTACCATGCCTTTCTATAAATTTGTGCTTTGACTCTGACCTAAAATTTAGGTGTTCATTGCCATACTCTTTTTAGTAAAGATTTTGAGTGTTAAATGTTCAAATGGAATGTATTACATTGACTATTTCAGCATATATTTTTAAAAAATGTTACTCTTGAAAACTTAATGTTTTAATCAAAATTGCTTAAAATGCCTGGTAAACTCATAATTTGTTATTGGTTTGTGTTTTATAAACTACCGAGGCCCTATGACTTAATACTGTTTTGTTTTTCTGCCTGCATCCTCTTTTGTCCCATTTTTCTTTTTGTCTTTTTAATATATTATTTTCTCATAGTCTTTCCTTTTGTTTGCTAGATTTCATTATGACTTCACTGGTTTCTTATTTTTATAACCATGCTGTTTTTAATTTTTAAATATTTTTCAGATTCTATCTAGATTTAAAACTTTCTTTCCCTTTGTTTCTTTTTCTGTTTGTAGATATTATATAGTCAAGAGTCATATATCTTTGCTGTTTTTGTCCTAGAAAAAAATGACAATGCTAGGAATTACTTTGTCACCATACCTTTTAAGTTTATTGTACAATGGATGTTTAAGGAACACTTAAAAATTTATTTCACTTTTAAACTTTGTTGCATTTTGAACTCATTTGTTATGGAAAAAATTATTTCTTGACCAAATTGATTTTAATGTTTCTTAAAACAGGTTTTGTTGACTGAAGGTACATTTATTGGAGGGAATATTTGTGAGAGGTGGTCACTGTTGGGAACCATGAGGGGGACAGAATAATTAACACTTCTTTGCTGTTATGGATTGCTGGAGCAGTTTGCCTATTAGGCAAAGGAGCCAGATTTGCCTATTATAAAGATTTCAAATACACATGTAAAACAAAATAATCTTAGACTTTTTTGGTCATGATTTTCAGAATTATATCTAGTAACAGTGGAAATGACTTTAAAACACAGTTTCTAACTTGTTGATTTCCTTGGCTTTCTGTATATTGAGCAAAAGGATAAAGGAGCTTTTTGTTGAGCGAAGGAAATGACTTGAATTACATTACTATTTCCTCTAGTTGTTCCTGGTTTTTAGTGTTGTTTTTTGACTGAAATGTGTGTTGTAGACTGAGAAATGAAGAAGAATATAATTGTTATGATGGTTTTAGACTGGGAACACAGTAACCTACTTACTGGTTGATTATGTGACATTTTACCTAGAATTAGTTTGATAAACTTTTCTTCTTAGGCAAAAATGAATATTAAACTAGGGTACTAGTGATTGCTCAGTGGCAAAAAATCTGCCTGCTAATGCAGGAGGCGCAGGTTCAATTCCTGGGTCAGAAAGATCCCCTGGAGAAGCAAATGGCAACCCACTCCAGTATTCTTGCCTGGGAAATCCCCCGGACAGAGGCGCCTGGCGGGCTTCAGTCTATGAGGTTGCAAGAGTCGGACTCAACTTAGCAACTAAACAACAACGAAGTATGTCTTTTGATCTAAAGTTCTATATTTTTCTAAGACATTTATCTGTATTTAGTTAACTTTCAACATTTAAAAAAATTATGTAAATTTTCTGTTGTCTTCTAGTTATAATTATTTCTGTGCCAGTGTACATTTCTTGAACATTTTTTTGTTCTTACAAATACCATTTCTACCCCATATTCCTTCATTGTGTGTTAAATCTATTTTAAAATCTGTTTTTACCACTAGTATATTTAATGAAGCATGCTTGCAGAGTTTAAAAACACATACCACTTGGGCTTCCCTGGTGTCTCAAACGGTAAGGAACCTGCCTGCAATGAAGGAGATCTGGGTTTGATCCGTGGATTGGGAAGATCCCCTGGAGAAGGGAATGGCTGCCCACTCCAGTATTCTTGCCTGGAGAATTCCATGGACAGAGGAGCCTGGTGGGCCATAGCCCATGGGATCGCAAAGAGTCGGACACAACCAAGCAACTAACACAGACCAATAGGATTGATTTCATAAGAAGTTATATATTTGTGTTTTTGACACATTTTGAAGTCATGTTAATATATGTTTAGCTGATCAATGCTTATTTTACTTGGATGGTTGTAAGGTTATAAACTATTAAACTGCTTTCCTACTTCTGTAAAGCAGCATTTACTAGCCTTCCTCATGTACTCATGCATAGAGAGAATTATAACATTTAGGTGGCACTCTGGTGCTTGGGTCACCCCACTGCTCTTTGACTCAGTGTCTTTGGCCCATGGATCCATTTCTTCCTTTACCTCCGTGGTGTGTCTCCTCCTCTGCGTTCTCTCTCAGTGCTGAGAGGGGTATTAACTGTAACTCACTTGTGAATGTGTAACCTTTGTGAGAAAAATTTCAGTGGTCCATTCTAGAATATTTACATTATGTATCATTCCAAGACATGGGTTCATGTTGGCCAGCATCTTATATGTGAAGCCTGCAGAAACTATTCTCTTTTACTTTTGTTTATAGATTATAATGATAACAGAAAATCATGATTATTAAGGCCTTCTGTCACCACCTAAAGCTTCAGTATACATTTTCTTTGATCTTTTTCTTGCAAGTTGGAAACGAACTTTTAATGTGCTTAAAATATTTGCGGTTATGTAGTAATAGTAACGATAATTGTACGTAACAGAAGAACTTGTCAGGCATAAAATGCATATTCTTTTAGTTTAATTGTTAATATTGTTTACCCTTCAGATTTCAGAAGGAATATTTATAAGTTTTGATGCTTCTTTAGAAAATGTGTTGCTATATTTAAATATAGTGTTTAGTGTGAACTTAGCTGTACCCCAGAAGAATCTGCTGTGTGTCATTAGTTTAAAACTACTGTTGTATAAAAACTTTCCTCAATTTCATAATAATTAAAACAATTCAGAATTTCAGCATGAAGCTAGCAGGAAATATATATTGTATAAGACTCTACTGTTAAAATATTTTTCCTCCTGGCTTTCTTAATGTGGTCAGTGTCAACCCAGTTCTTCCACTGGGAACCAGAGTGGCCTCCGACAGTCCCATCTGCTGGGTCTCCATCCGCCTCCCTTCCCCTTTACCTCAGCCATTTCAGTGGGGCTCCTTTTCTAGCTTCTGTTCTGGCTTAATATCTTACCATTTCCATCCAGTTATGCTGTTGGAATTATCTTCCCAAAGCACACAGTTTGATCATGTCACTTCCCAGCTTAAAATTATTTTTTCTGGGATATCTCTGGTAGGCCAGTGGTTAAGACTCCAGGCTTCCAAAGCAGGGAGCCTGGGTTTGATCCTTACTCTAGGAAGTAGGATCCTACATGTCAAGCAATGTGGCTCCCGAAGAAAGGGTTAAAAATTATTTTTTCTCCTTATTGCCATAGTTAATAGCCATCTTTGCATAGCATTTCAGAAGACCATTTCCATCTGGCCCCATCATACTCTTTTTATTTCCCATTCTTCTGTGCCCCGGTGTGCATAGGGTGGGCCTTATCTCCTTTCCCTAATTACTCTATTGTTCAGTCACTGTTGTTTCTTGTATTTTGTTTTCTAATCATGTCACTAGCTTTTATCACACTCGCTGCATATTCTTTCCCTGGAAGACCCCTCATCTGTACCCACATCAGATGTTAATACTCTGCAAAGTATTCGACCCTTTTTTAGAAATACTTTCCTCCATTGTTGCTTTATACTTCCTTTAGAGCATTCACCACACTGTGCCTTGGAACATAATTAGTTGTATTAATATAACTCATTCTGTTCTTTCACTAGATTATAACCCTTTTGATGACATGACTCATGTTATTTAATTAAGGTGTTTTGATGGTTGCTTAATATAAGACAGGGAATACACAAACATACACTTATGCATACACATTTTCATTTACTCAGTTTAAGCATCTAGCTTTTTTATAGCACTGCTACATGCAATGCTAGTCTCTGTGAGGAAATAAAAAATGAATATGACATGTTCCATGAATATAACATGCCTTCAAAGAATTTTATTCTGGGGGGGAATGATGCAGTAGATTGAAGGGCATTGTGTACAAATGCCATGCATGTACATACAATGTACATTATATACCATGTATAAATATTTTTGTAAGTATTTTGCGTTTGTCCTTTGGTGTTGTACCATGTCTCCATGTATATGGTTGTGTGTGTATGTCTGTTAGATTTTTCTACCCACTTAATACACATCAATTATTTCTATATAAAAATCAGTAGCTATTATAAAATACAAAGCTTTCCTATTTAGATAATTTCATTTTCAATAAATAAAATAATAAACTTTAATAAACTGAATTTAGAACTTAGATTAATATATTATTTAAGAATCAAATAATTTTAGTTAAATTTATAGAGACTGACTTGGGGTACTGTCTTCATGTTTTTATTAGCCTAGTTTGCTTTTGTTTTTTTTTAAGTAAAGTAATGATGCTGTCATAGTTTTATTTAGAGTAATTTGGAGAAAAAACACTTTGTAGTGATCAAAAATTGATTTTATTTGCATAGTTGGATGTCATCCAATGTGTTATGCTTTTAATTAATGTGGAATTCACTATGCAATGTTTGTTTTTCTAAAGATTGAGAAGAAATGTGGATTTGACTCACATACTATGATATGTTGTATGTAAAGTGTCAATGCAATGTTCTGTGTACTTTCTTTATGCTCTAATATAATTAATTTGTTTCTAGATGCTGGCATCACCATCTACATCAGGTCAGCTGTCTCAGTTTGGGGCAAGTTTATACGGGCAACAAAGTAAGAATTTTGTATTTATTCTGGGATACTTTTTTTAAAGAAAAAATAACTATCAAATAAAGAATAATGCTGCCCTTGTGGGTTTATTCTAGGATTTAAAAGGAAGGATATTTAATTTTCAGTTTTCCTTATTTTACTTAGTTAGCAAAACCTCATTATTTCAGACCTTTCTAATTCAAAATTATTTGGATATAGGGTAGATCAAAATTTATTTCTGCATCTTTCATATCTGTATGTTCCTTTGCAGTAGTTTTAGAGAAGATTTGCTAAACAAATTAAAAATAGACACCCTCTGTGTTTTCAATTAGAGGAGGTTAAAGGATTTTTGATTGGCCAGTTAAGTGGGTTGTTTTGCTTATGTTTTTTGGCCTTATTATTAATGTAAGCCCATACCTAGCAGTTTGTGAAATGCTCTCTTTGTTTAGCAAATACTTCTTTACTGTAGCTCAGTCTGAGTATATAATCTCTTGTTTTTGACTCACAGTTCAATGCTTTTTCCATATACAAGATTTTATTTCTTATTTTGTGTTGTAATAACTTTTATAGCGCTTAGCACAGTGCCTAGCGCATAGTAAGCGCTCAATAAATGTTAACTATTATTATGACAAAATTTTTATAAAACTAAATTTAAAATTTTCACCAATTTTTCAAATTAATTTTCCAAACTGTTATATATTAATAAGGTATATCATCTCTCTTAATGTCAGAGACTACTGATTTCTCATCTATTTAGTGGGAGGGGAGTGTTAAACGGGATATAAATTCCCATGAAAAATTACAGAATAATAGAGTAACTGAAGCAGATAATATGATGACCAAGTAATTTAACCAACTTCAAATAAAACTCAGATATTTCATTTTGAACTCTTCCCAATAAAAGGCAAATTTTGATAGATATCAGAGTAGTTTATCATACTACTTTACCCTTCAATTTTATGTTGAAATTCTGTAGGGGGAAATAGCGTATTTTGTTACAAAAATACAATTTCCATCTTATTTTTTTCTCTCCGTCTTTTGTTTCATAGCCCTATTTTTGTTAATACAGAATTAGTAAGGAAAATTATTAATCACTTACTGGTATTAACAGTTTTCCTCTAGTTAAGTAGAAAATATTTTTAAAGCCTTTTATTATACAAAAAAGATGTTGCTATTTATCAGCAAATATTCATTCTCATTATTAAGGGACTATTATTAGCTAGCTGTTTTGTTTTGCTTGGACTTTTTTTGTTTGAAATCTACTACTTTCCCTCTTCTGGTAACCCTTACATTGGAAATATCTAGTTATTTTAAAGCTCCCCTTTATTTCTGTAGAATCACTACAGAGAACTTAAGCCCACAGTTTATCACAGCAGAAAGTAGATAATGGAAAGGAAAAAGTTAAATTTGAGAAGCCAAGATTATTTAATGAAGGAGACTGTCAGTTATTTCACAGCGTTATCAGCTGTATGGACTTTGAAAATCTGACCTAATTTTTTTAACCTGCAAATGTGAAATTGTAATTGAGCTAAATTAGAGCCTGGACTAGGTTTGGAATACAGTTATTTCATTGGTATGATCAAACATATATTGACTTAATTTGTGTACATGATTGTGCTGATAGTTAAAGTTTTACAAAGAGTAATAAATGTGGAAAGTTATTTTCATTAGGAAAGTATTTTAAGATACTTATTAATTTAAAAAGAAGTCATATATGACAAATATTTCCTGTTGGAGTTTAAAATAATAAATGCCTATATTATTGTAGCAATGAAGAACCAGCATTTTCAGTGCATGACTTACTCTCTTAACTGACATTGTAGGTATTAGCTTATAAAAAAGTGAACCACAGGTCACCTGGAACTGAAATGTCTCGAGTCAGGGTACAGTTATTTCTTTCTATTGCACAGGCCTGGAAACTACAGCTAGTAATGTAAAATAAAACAGAGCCTGAATTCCTGGGCTCTGTCTGTCAAGATAGACCTAGCAGGGCCAAAGTAGTTTGAACATACACCTTGTCAGAACATCAGCTACCATTTAGGACTTGAGGATCACAGCTTCGGTAGTACAAGTAAGTCAGAAAGAGAAAACTTGAGGGGCTGACCTTAATAAAGGATGGGGAGATAGAATAAGTAGGTAGGAATAGATTGATGATGCTGTTCTTATGGCAGCTAATTTTGATTGTGCATTGGACTTGATACAACAAAGTTCTTTTGCCTCCCAGGTGGATTGAGTACCACTATTAACTCTATTCAGATGGGCAAAGTTCAGTAGGAATTTGAGCCATTAAAATGAAGGTCTATTGTCTGTTTTTGTTCTTGGTGATTAGAGAGATAAGCGGTAGAAAAGGTGGAGAAGGTAGAGTGCCCTCTGAAACCTCAGACTCCCTGAGTTTAAACAAGGGAAGGAGTGTCTCCTGGAATGGATGGATGCAGAGCTGCTTAAAGGTGCATTTTGCCAGATTTGGGTGGAAGTGATTGTGTAGTACATAACGGTACCCGGAAAACGCTGAGCTTGGAGCTAGTGAGATCATGGGTTCTAGTATAGTATAATTGTATACAAATATGTAATTAACTTTTCATCCAAGGGTTTGTGTGAGTGCTGTGCATCAGGTGGTAACTGTAGAAGCTGGTGATGGGATCTTGTGTTAAAGTTACATGATGTTCTCTACTAGGGTGTGATATTTTAGGTACGTTGTCTAGGTTTAGAGACCCCTGGACTCCCTGAAGCTGTGTACTGGATTGGAATGAACAGGAAACCAGAAATTAATTTCCTTACTTTAAGATATTTAATAACCCTATTAAAGGTTAAGGGACTTGGGTAAGATAGTGAGTAATAGAGCCAAGATTGCCTTACTTTGTAAGTTTAACTTTTCGAACATGAGTTTCTTTGAAACGTGGGTGCCACATATTACTTACTGAATGGCATGACTTTGGAGGGCAATTTACACATAGTAGAAACTATAAATGTTAAAACCACAGACTCCAGGAGTCCACTGACTAAGGAATTATGATAGCAGTTATTTATTTATTGTGTTATACCATGAGTGAAGAATTATTCCAGGATTGAAGAGTGTGGCAAATAACAAAGTTCCTGATTTCATGGAGCTTTTATTTTAATGAAGGAAGACATAGAATAAGCATGCAGACATTTAGTAAACAAATAATATTCTGGTAATAAGTACTATAAAAATTACCATATTAGTGGATGAGTAGATGGGATTAACAGTTTTCAAGTAGGCAAAGAGTATCTCTGACAAGGTAATATTGAATGCAAACCAGACTGTTGAGAAGTGGAAGTCTTTGGAAAGATCTGGGTAAGAGATTTTTCAGGTACAGATAACTGAATGCAAACGTTCTTAATTCATGACAATGTAAGAATGAACTTCATGTGTTAAAGGATGAATGAGAGGGCCAGTATAATGAACAAAGAAAGTGCAAGGTTAATGGGTAGCAGATGTCAGATCATGGAGTCTTGTGAAGGTTTGATAAAGAATTTGGATTTTATTCTAAGTTTAGTGGGAGGGAATTTAAGGTACAGTTTCCTTTTTAAAAGATCACCTTGCTATGTAGAAAATGGACCGACTGGAAGTGGGCCAAGTGATAAGAAAAAAAGAAAGGGCAATTACTGCAGCAGTCCAGGCAAGAAAATAGGGTGGCTTGGATTAGTGATGGAGATGTTGAGAGGTGGTTAGATTTGGGATATTTTGGACATACAGCTAATATGATTTGGGGATGTGGAGTATGAACGGAAGAGAAGGATCAAGGGTGGCCTCTAAGGTTTAAGACCTGCATTACTTTGTGAAAACGTGCCACTAATCTGTTGTGCAAACTTGGGTTGAGGAGGAGTGTAAGGTATCTGTAGGAGATTGACACAGTTTATTCCACAGATAGAGTGCCACCTGCTGTGAAGATGCAAACAAATATTGTTCGGGAATTGTGGCTGGGTTCTAACATAGCAGCTTCTCATAGTTGAGGATGTTGAAGCCAGGTTAACTTCATCCATGCTTCTCTCATCTATCTTTAGTGCTCAGAAGCAAGCCCACTCTTCCACCAGGCATATATCTCTTGTCCTCACTTTCACACATCTTGCAGTTTTCTCAGATTGAACTGCTGTGACATGTTTACATCACCCCCCACCCCACCCCACCCCAACTCCTAGAACCACTACCAAATGCCTAACTAGGGCTCTTTCTTTATTCAGCTGATGTACAATATTCTCTGGCAAACATTTGCTGATCCCAGATTCATTCTGCTTTCATGTCTTGACTTAGAGGTGCCTTCCGTATACACCCAAGTACGCTATACATACACTGCACGTAAACACCTTGATCATAGCAGTTTGGGTTTTGGTTTTTTTATTTAAATAGTCTTTTATCTCTGTAAAACAGTAGGAGGGAAAGAATTCTAGGTGGGGAGAAGGATATGAGTAAAAATATGGGGGTATATTTTGGGAAGAAGACTAGGGAAATAATGAAGAACAGTGTAGGTCAAGTATGTGGTGTCTAGAAACCAGAGTTTGTATTGGGTGAGTAAAATATTAAGTTGATTGGAAAACTATTATGTCAGTTATATCTCAGTAAAGCTGGGAAAAATAAAGACTAGAAGAATTTTTTTTGGTCTTAACAGAGCACTTTAAAGAGTAAACAAACTGAGATTGGATTTAACTATACAACAGTGTTTCTTAACCCTTACTGCTCCCCCCACCCCCGAAACACCCCCAGAGTTAAAAAAAAATGCCACTGCCTATGAATTGCTGAACCCAGACTAAGTCACAGTTTCTGGGCAGGGACCCAGATGTTAAAGTTTCCCATATGATGCAAAGGTTAGCAACTACTATAGGAAGCAGAACGTGTGATTGGTTGAAATTATAGAGACAAGAAATTGAATCAGTGTATTTATTCTTCATTGTTTGTGATCTTGGGCAAGTCACTTAATACCTAATGTTAGTTCATCTATAAATTAAGTTGAATGACCTTCATCTGTAATTTGATTGGATACTCTCTGGAGAGTTTTCTTTCTCTAAAATTCTTTGATTTTAATGAAGGAAATGGCATAATGAAATAGTATACAAAGAAGATTAACCAGCTAAGTGCAGGACAAGTTGGAGGTAAAAGGGTATGGGGACAGGTAGGAGGTAAGAAGATAGTTGCCCTTTATGTGTGATCAGGACAATGAGTTAAGGAAGCCAGCTGCTTTGGGAATGGAAAGGGGATACTTGAAGACCTCTTGCATCAATTAAGTTTTCTCCTTTCTCTTTAAAGATTTCAGGAGACTCTGTTTAAGCATGAGTATTCAAGAATTTGGTTGCTATTACCTTTTTTCTTATTACTTATGTCATTAATATTATTAATTTTTAGCAAAAGATTGAATAAAGTGTGACATATCATGCCATAACTGTTTAAGGAATATGCTATTAACCAGTTTGCGCAATGGAAGTAGTTCATGGAAACATTTCTTAGGTGATATTTTGGATTTCTGAAAAATGATCAATAAAGAATTCAATTCGTTTTTTGTTTAGCACTCTGCCAAATAGTAGGAATCTACTTAGAATATGTTCATGTATTTCTTCTAATACAGTATTATACTTTATTATCTCTTTGTCAGATTAAAGAAAAATTTGCTTCAGATCTATAACCTTTTAAACTGCTTATTAACTGGTATTCTTTTTTGGGGAGCGGGGAGTTTCTTCTTTTATTTCTTGTCTGTAAAAAAGGGATAAATACCTTCTCTATAATACTTTATAAGGAGATGAAGTAGCATAGTGCTTCATGTAGTTCTTAGGTGCTTGATATATTTTGTTTAATTCTGCTCTCCTTCCAATACACAAGCTTATGTGTACATATTTAACATTTTCTATTTGTAGTTATTTCATGTCAGATTTTTTTTTTTTTTAACGAGCTGGATACTTTATTCCCCTTTCAGCTTACATGTCTTCCAGTATAATAATTTGGTCTTCCATGGTGGCTCACTTCATAAAGAATCTGCCTGCAATGCGGGAGACCTCGATCCCTGGTGGGCAAGATCCCCTGGAGAAGGGAGTGGCTACCCACTCCAATGTTCTGGCCTGGAGATTCATGGACAGAGATGATTTTTTTGTGATGTTTCTAATTTTACTAGTAAAAGTAAAATTTTCCCTCCCTTGACCCTGCCCCGTTGTAGCAACTCAAATTTAACGACTGTGTGTTTCATTCCTAAAAATAAATCTGTTTCTAGTCAGTGGTATTAATTCTGTGTGTTTTAAAGGAATTCAGTTGAATTTAAAGTAATTCAGTTATTAAGTATTCAGAGGTTATTGATCCAGTTTGAAATTGATGCATTCCTCTCTTTTCTTTTGATTTCTTCCCCTACCCACCTGGCTCAATAAAATGCAGCTCAGATCATTTGAATTTATTAGCTGTTTTCATGAAATCAAAGTGTTAAAGGAAAAAATAAAATGAAATGCTAATCTGTGAGTTCTTTATTTCATACTGTCTTCCTCTGCTCTCCTCACTGTAGGTTAATTCAAATGTGCCTATCTAAAATTAGTTAAATAAATTACCTGACCCATTCTTGTTTCCTTCTCAAGTTATTTTGATAATGGTCAGATAATCTGCAGTCTCTACAATATTTCTCAAGTTATAGATTTTCATAGCACAGCATACTATATGAAAGGTTGAAGTAAACAAATCTCATGAGTCTTTAGAAGAACTTACTGAAGAGCCAGAAGGGTGCAGTCCTTTTGAACATGTATGTTTGTTTATAATGATGAAGGTATAGAGAGAATGAAATGGGAAGGGAAAGCAAATCTAGAGGAAAAGGAAGCTTGACAGAGACAGAGAAGATGAGAAAGCAAATGGAGGGGAAAGATGAGATACGTTGGTTTAGAAAAAGTTTGAAGAGAAGTAAACATGTTCAGGAAAAGAAAGCAAAAGAAAAAGAATAGATAAAGGGTGTTACAAATCAGTGAGTACTCACAAGGGTGCTCATTTACTGTTTAATTGGGTTCCCATAGGTTTCCAATTAAGAACACCAGGAGCTAAGAAATCTAAATTCTAATCTTGGTTCTTTGAGTCACCTTGGAGAAGTCAGTTAACTTATCGGAGGCTGAGGTTCCTCATCTGTAAAATGTGAACATTGGATTAGGTGATCTCTAAGGTCCCTTCATGTTCTAAAATTGTATGTTTCTTGGTGGTCAGTAACTGTGAGAAACATTCCTGTGGGAAATCTGCAACTATAGCTGACGTTAGGACAGCATATTTAGGGAAAAGGATGTGAGCTTATTCTGTCTTGTTCACTGCCATATCCCCAGCAGCTCACACAGTGCTTGACACATTAGGCAATAGATGGTTGTTTAGTAAGTGATGTGAGAAGTGTCATGGTGGTGGTTCATTATGGGAGCATCTAGAGGGCTTAGAGGAAAGCTAGTGTGCTTGAGAAAAGGCAAAGACTTATGACTTCTGAAGAAATCTTGTGTATGCTGGTTTTTAATCTCTTGTTCCTCCTTATTTTATCCTAAATTCAGAGGAAGTGGCTATAGCTAGTGGTATACTCAAGATCACAAAACTTGTAGTGACAGACATACATATAATGACTAAACCAACATATAATCTAGTTCAATATACTTTATGTATGTGACTTAAAGAATAATAGAGTCAAGCTTAGATCTTCATGGAATATAAATATATATAGAATGTAGTAGTTACATTAAATTGGATTTGTTAGCTTCGTTCAGCTGAGAAGCAGTTAGGCTACAAGCTGAGTACTGAAGCTGACAGATTCCAGCTAAATCTTCGGGATTCACTGATATCCCAGATTACAAAGTGGTACACTGTTATGCCAGAAAATAAATTTGCAGATATTTGAAGGAAAATATTCAGAGCATATGCAATATATTCCAATTTTTTGGAAGTCATGGTTTCAAAATATTCAGGTCTTTGAAATTCTTGAACCCAAAGTTAGACCAGAAAGAGGGGGAGGGAGTCTAATGCTTTGTGCTAAAATCCTCTTATTCATTAACTTTCATTCTGTCTTGCCATTTTAATTTAATCTCCAGTTCAGAATAAGTGTGGTTGACTGATACGTCATTCCACAATAGACTAGAAACAGGAGGCATCCAAAAGTATGAGGATAGAGGAAAGGAAGCATATTGGCATTCATAGGCAGGTGTGATGACAACATAAATGATAGCTGAACATCCTTACTTTTGAGGGATAAAAGGGGAGGAAAGTGTCTAGGACATTAAATATCTATGATGATTATTCTGAATTATTCAGAAAATAGTAATTGATATCATTTTATATTAACACGAGGCAGGAAATGATTTATCCCGATTGGTTTATTTTTATTTTAATGTTTTGTTTCTGAGTGGTAAACTCACTAGTTTTTTAAAAGTACACATATTTGAACACATCTAACCTCACATCTGGCCCCATAAGTGGTAGATAAATAGAAGGTCACTGTACTTTGAAATCTTCTGAAATATCATGCATTCTTGTCTCATAGCTATATCAGGTTGAGTTTTTAACAGTTGCTGACATATTGTGTTTATAAAAGTTGTTATGTTGAGAAATATGTATGTGTAAATAGTAGTAAATAAACTATTTCTTAAATGCATTTAGAAAGGATCAATTAAAAATTTAAACTACTTCAGCAAAGTGGGGATTAAATGTCTGTGTAACTCAGTTATGATTTAAAATATAAAAACACAAGATTGCAAATTTCTTAAAGGCATATTTATGCAAAATGTTTTTATTGAAGCAAGTCATCTAATTTGTTATTGGCAGACATAGTTTATTGTAAAATAGAAATATGAAAAGAAGATAGATAAAAGCAAAGAAGAAAAAATAGAAAAATGGAAGCAATATGAAAATTCATAATATTAAATTTCAGACAAACATTTTTGTTAAAATCAGATTAGAGTCCATTTGGAGTGAATTGAATATTTCCATTTAAAATTTGCATATTATTTTATGTTAGGTCATTTTTAAATGTTTTAAATTACCAACTCCAGAAGATGGATAGCAATTTCATTCCTGATGGCAATGAATTTCCTTCTTCTGAATTTTTTTAATAGGTGCACTAGGCCTTCCAATGAGGGGGATGAGCAACAATACCCCTCAGTTAAATCGCAGCTTATCACAAGGCACTCAGTTACCGAGCCACGTCACGCCAACAACAGGGGTACCAACAATGTCACTTCACACGCCTCCATCTCCAAGCAGGTATTTATATTGATGGACCAGAATATTTCTCAAAATGTATCTTTGTAGAGTAAGCGAGCTTTTTAATTTTTTAATAAAGTGACTATTTGATTTTCTGGTTCAGTGCCTTTCACTGAGGAAAAGAAAGTTGATACCCTATGCTCATTTAATTTCATTGCAAATTGATAAGTATAGTGTAAGATGCTTTTATCTTGCAGCTAGCATACTGGTTATCAGCTGGGATGGGTATCAAGGATTAATCACCACCTGGGGATCTTTTTTCAAAAAAGCAAACTCTCTTCTTCAAAGGAGAATGTGCAGTTTCAGATCACTCCTCAGATGATTCTATTTATTGCTCCCTCACCACACATCCATTGTTCTAGTGAGAATAAAATAAAGCAGATCACAAAAAATGATGCATCTTAGTATTAAGAAGATAGAATGACATACATTTGGAATGAAATTATTCAAAATATATATGTGAAATATGTTTGTATTTTATGTGATAGTCACACCAATAGTTCTCTCATCTTTGCTATCACCATATATTCTTCTAAAATTTGCCCTTTCTTGTTGGTTTGTTTACTTTGACTTTCAGAAAGCTTTTTCTCTTTTCAAATTACCAGACAAGAGAATGAAATGAATAAAAACTAACAATGCAATTTGAAAGTGTGTCTGATTCTAGGGTTAGGTCGATTGATTATTCACAGAGAATTTTAACGAGTGCTTATGGAGAGCTTATTTAGTGTACTGGACTTCTCTTTCAGGGGCATTTTGCCTATGAACCCTAGGAATATGATGAACCACTCCCAGGTTGGTCAGGGCATTGGAATCCCTAGCAGGACAAATAGCATGAGCAGTTCAGGGTTAGGTAGCCCCAGCAGAAGCTCGCCAAGCATAATATGTATGCCAAAGCAGCAGCCTTCTCGACAGCCTTTTACTGTGAACAGGTAAGATATTTATTGATACTGTGTATAATTGTTCTTTCTGGGTATTTTCAAATTTGCCTTTTCATATTCAACGTTCTGTTCTTGAGTCTTGGCTTCTGTTTCATAAGTGTGTTTCATCATATATTTTGTCCAAAGCTTCTCTTTTTGTTACACATAGCAATTTAAACTCCCAAACTTAAAGACATACTCTTTTGAGAATCAGTTTGCTTTTTGTTGCTGTTAGAAAAGGATTGTTGTTAGGTTGCCAACCAGAAAAATTTTTGTTGAAATGTCCTTCCTCTATTAAATGAGGCTGGTTGCCTGTGTGGTAAGAGCTCCATATTTATGAATAGCACTGGAAATATTATTATTATTGCCTTGCTTCATTTATCCTTTGGTTAAGTTCCTTTTCAACCGAATTTCTGTTTTGTTCTTTGGAGACTTACTGACCAAAGACCTTTTGAAGACTACATCTGTAGTATTTGAAATAGTGTCATGTCCTGGGATTTAAAACAAAAAGAAGAATTTGTGCTTTGAAACTCCTTTTTTTGTACTGTTTTACTGCTATGCAAATAATAGTTAACAATATGAAAACGTTACATATTTTGTTAGGATTTTAAAGCTGTTCAGATAATTTATATGAGAGTTATGTCTGTAATACAGGGCTTTCTTTATTGTGAAAGTGATATTTTAGTTTGATCTTTTTTTTTAATGGGCAGCATAGTGGGTAAAGGATGTAGGTGCTATCATGGTACCCGTTTACTTTACTTTCTCTTATTTAGTACTTGTAAATTCTGAATAAAAATAGGTTATTAGCACATTTCCAATTTAATGTTCATCCCATAACCTCCAGTTCTTACTTTAAGACTTATATGAGCATTTTCTTTTATAATTTTGACTGCTCTTTTAATTTTTACCAAAGTTATTTCTGTAAAGGGGTTCTCAAGACTCATCTCCTTGACAGTTTCCTAATCATGTAATACTTCTTGGACTTTAACACATCTTTCTGCATTCTTGTAGTATGTCATTGAATGTATATTTAAATTTTTCTTTCCCATGTTTTTTCACATTCTAGTTGTAAATACTTTGCTTGTAAATATTCTTATAAATTGTCAATGAAGTGTGGGTCTCTAAAGCCCTGCTTAGTACTGTTGATAAGATGTATGTATTATGGAATGTTTTCATCTCTTACTGCTTATTCAATGTTTGAGGGTACCTCTATCGTCAGCAGTTCTAACGCACTATTAAACAAAACTTTCTGTTGACTTTTCTGCTCTTCTCTAGAGTATTGTTTCACCAGCTGCATTATTTTATGAAAATACTGTTTGGCTTTGGCTATAGTTAGTTTTCCAAACCTAGGCAAAAAACAAAACAAAACCCTGTCATCTTCAATTTAACCTTACTCATAACACTAATACAACTGTCTTTTTTCAGACTATTTGATGTTAAAAATGCATTCTTTCATTGTAGAACTTGCGTTAACAGTTCTTTTTGACGTGTTTAATTACTCTGACCTCACTTTAAATTCAGCCTTATTTTTTGTTTGTTTGTTTTCCCATCTTTACGCTTGTGCTGAAAAGGGAGGCTTTGGTAACTATTTACCAAGTACCTTAATTTAGAATTAAGGGAACTATGGAGAGATTTTTTTAAAAAATAACTAAAAGATACAGTTGATAAGAATGATGTGTTTTAGAACACTGAATTCAGTTAAAGAAAAACACCATTTAATTCAGGTCAACTAAACATTTATTGAGTGCCTTTTGTATCCTCCTGAATGCTAAGGGCAGAGAAATGCAAAGGTATGTCTGACATGAACTCTGTCCATTCTAGTTGGGAAAAGACAGACAATATGAATGAAAATCTTTTATGAAAAGTAATAATAGCATATTTTACCAGTAGTAAAAGAAAAACAAATATTCAAGAATAGTCTTAAACTAAATCACCTATTTTTGAATTTAGTTACGTCTTTCAGTATATTCAGTAAGTTGACTCGCCAAGTACACAGAATGATACCCTTAATCTGTTTTCCTCAAGCCTTATATAAATTCTTTGCTTTTTGTTTTTTGACTGATCGTTTTGGTTCTCAGTTGTTCATGGAAGGATTTTAGGGAACCTTTAAGTAAAAATATTCAACTCAAAAATAAAATTAGTGTTTGTTTTTAGACATGTTGTTTTATATGAGGAGATCAAAAGTAAACACTTTTGTTTTTCTTCATCTGAAAGTTAGTGTTCTTATTGTATATCTAAAATTATTTTCTATGTACCCAGTATGTCTGGATTTGGAATGAACAGGAATCAGGCATTTGGAATGAATAACTCCTTATCAAGTAACATTTTTAATGGAACAGGTAAGCTTATTCTGGAGCTAGTACCCTATAAAAATATGATAGATCTTGAAATATAAAGCAGTTCAACAAACTGGTCTTAAAATAATTAAAGGAATTTTTGTGTTTAAATGATAGAACTTAATTTAGGGGAGAATTTGACAGGAAACAGGATTTAATTCAGTCAGTAGTTAAAAGGTAGTTAAATATATTTTTTCACTTGGCATGGTAATAGCAGTGTTATAACCTCAGATTTGTTTTCTTAACACCTGGAGAAAGCATGAACGTTAACTTAGTCTATATTTGTGCCTCAGAATCTTTTTGCTTCAAGAGCTTTTCTTATCCTCAGTCCTTTCACTGTAGTCTAAACTAGGTTGAGCATTGTGGCATTCTGGCTATAGAGACCCAGATGAAAGAAACCTTTAAAACTATATGGAGCACTTACAGTTTTTTCTTAATAGTTTTAATAATACTAATTTTTGCATTTAACTCATAAATTTTTAATCCGGTTTTAAGTGTAAAATTCAAAATTTAAGTACATAGAAAGCCAATTCTGATTTTGACAGTAACGAATTTTTGCAGTCTCTTGGTTTCTTTTATCAGCTGGCTTCAGACAGAAGAGAACAGGAGGCTTTGTTACTGTTCTGCTTTAGGTTTTACTTTCTTCCACCCTTGCCTCCAGACCCTTTCCTGAGAAAGCAGATGAAGGATGTTGTTATAGTCATAGGAGCAAAAATGAGTATGATTGTTGAGAGAAATATAGTAAAGGAAGTGGAAGGTGAAAGAATGATCAGCGAAACGGGGTGTATGTGGAAGCATGAGAAGATTAGCAATTGAAATGATAGTTCTGGCTATCGGCTTTTAATTTTTCAACATTATTGTATGTTTAGTAGCAGCCTGGATTGACCAAGTGACACTTCAGAATTTTAGTTTTTTGCATTTAAAGTTTTGTGTTCTGATATGAAGTACCATATTCCATTGTTTCTCAGATGCACATTTTTTTCATATTTAAATATCTCTGAAATTAGGATGCATATCATAATTTAATTAGTGAGGTTTTTTCCCCTCCTAAATGAACCGTGAAGTGACAGTGTGCCTCAGTGCCATCTTATATTCTGAAATATGGTTTATACACTTCCGTAAATTTTACAATTATTTTTTAAGTCATTTTTAACTAAGTATATTTTACACTAGGAAAGTTGTTTCCAAGTCTTACCCTAAAAATAAAAATTTGTGAGTTAATACTATTTTTAGGTATTCTTAAATAACACATGCCAATTTTAAACTCCATCTTAGAGGACCTGAAGAAGTGTATTCAAGGTTAACACTTACTGTAAGTTTATAGTTAGAATTCATAATCAAGTAATTCAAGAGAGATTACTTTTTAAAGTACTTTATAAGCTATTGATATGTATTGTTGTCTTTTTATATAATGCCTGTTTATAATTCAGCGTTCATAAGCTGCAGTTTCTTTAAAAGCAGTGGGTTTGAATTATATTATCTTTTACCCTTCATAATTTTAAACTGTCATCTGACTTGGAATGTAACTGTTTTCTATGAACAGAGTTCTTGACTTGTTTCTTTCTGAGATCCTTCTAGTTATGAATATTAAGAGGAAAATTAAACTGAAAGAGGGGGCAAACAAACTGAAAATGGTTATAATACACTAGATGAGACAAATCAAAGAAAAACTATAGTGCATACTAACAGTAAGGTAGAAAATAAATTCTTCAAAAATTAAGAATATAAGATTGTTAGAGTATTAGAATAATTAACACATTGAGAAGAGATCAAAGTAATGATTAAAATAGGCAAAGTAGAAATGTTGGATTAAATTTTAGTTTTTAAAAGGAAAGGAACTGATGTTTTAAAATTCAAAATGAACAGATATTTTATTTATTCAATTTATTGAGCGCCTACTGTGTAATAGGTAATATAAGCTTCTGGGCTCTGTGTCATATTCTCATGCATTTCACTCACCAGACATAGGAGCTCTACATTACCCTACGTTCTCCACCCTACTTACACTCTCAACTGCAAAACACACACACTCACATACCCACATGTATACACACTTGTGTATGGAATAGGCCAAATAGGCCAAAAATATCCTTAGGGATTCTGTTTCCATTGCATGTGCCTCTAGTATGATTCAGACCATTTGCAGGAGGCACTGTCATTATCACACCAGTGTTATAAATGAAGTTCCAAGCATTCCAGATACAACCTCTGTTTTTGAATATAGTGCAAAGAGCAATTTTATCACAACAGTCTCCCCTCTTACTAATCAGCAACCTATAACTTGAGTACCGTCTTTCACAGGAGAAATAATGTACAACCTTACTCCTTATTATCTATCTTAAGCCGCTAGGATTTGGGATTTTTATTATATAGTAGGTACATACTGCTTTGCTGAGTTCATAAATTCTTTCACACGAAGTCAGTCCACAAATATTTATTGTACATTTACATATACCAAGTACAGTGCTATACATTGTTTAGGAAGAAGTCACTGTCATTTCAAATTTTATTATAGTTAGTAATAATCCCTTTAAAATGTTTGTAGAGCAGTAACTAGTTTGTCTCTTCTTATTTAGATGGAAGTGAAAATGTGACAGGATTGGACCTTTCAGATTTTCCAGCATTAGCAGACCGAAACAGAAGGGAAGGAAGTGGTAACCCAACTCCATTAATAAACCCCTTGGCTGGAAGAGCTCCTTATGGTAATTAATTAAGCTTTTTATTGATGGCTAGTGAAAATTTTCTGTTATACACACTCACACATATATATGTATATTTGCATGCATGTGTGTGTACACACATATATTTCCTAATCAGAGTAATGTAGTTTTGTCAGAGTCGATAAATGCAAAGTGCTTTTTCTTCCCAGAATACCATCTTAGCAGAGTTAAATGGGAAAACTTAATTTGTATAGAAACCCCAAAAGGAAGTCTTCATTGGTATTCAGAAGTTATTTTCTTCTGCATTCTGCCTTAGTATACCTTAATAATCTATGGTTTGCCTTTGTTCAGTTCGTCACACTTTTTTTCTGAAAGAATACATGCTCATATTCCTAGTAATTAATAATGACTACCATACACTGATGATTTTTGCTAAGCCAGTTTCTCAACCTCCACACTACTGACATATGAATAGATAGTTTCTTGTAAATGAGAGGCTGTCCTGTGCATTACAGAATGTTTGTCAGCATTCTTGCCCTTGGCCTACTCAGTGCCCAGTAGCACCCCCACCCCTGCTCCCACCCTTCCTGCACCCCCCCACCCACCGCGCCCCCGGCCATTGTGACAGCCACGGATGTTGACACATGTCTCATGGGAACAAAAAATCGCCTCCTGTTGAGAACTACTTATGGGTCATGTATATATAGTTTATGTAGACTCTTGGTCACCACAGTACCCTTTTTCACTATCTTTAATAAATGAGAGATTTGGCTAACAGAGGCTAAATGAACTAGACATGGAAATTATGTAACAACAATGTAACCATATTTTTTTGTATCCTTTGCTCATAATTGGTAGAATGTGATAAAGACTAATAGCAAAAACACTGAACTTAAAGGGATCTTTTCATCAGTTCTAAGATACTGTTTTTCCCATTTTCAACCAACATGGGTGTATGTTACTTTCAGAATATGAATACAAATAATAATATGTGAAGAAGGGAAAACTTTATTATTCACTTTCAAATGTTTCCTAATTAGCTTTCCTCCCCACCAAAAAAGCAAAAATGATCTGCCCTGGAAGTTGAGTACCTAGCTACTTGATTCTCAGTTCAGACTCTAATGTTTTTAACCTTTCCTCATAGGTCCATTTTTTCATCCCTTTAATCATTCCCGTTGCTCTCCTTGGACCATCTCTAGTTTCTCCATATCGTTCTTGAATTGTGGAGCCCCAAACTGGATATTGTTCTCCAATAAGGGCCTGACTAATGCCAAGTATAGTGGGAGGATTACTTCCCAGTTCTTGCATGTTTTACATCTATTACATGGAGTCCAAGAAAATCTGAAATAATATGGAGTTGTTTTATAATTGATTGCAATTTGCTCACTCTGTAAGTCACTTTCAAGTAGAATACTGACATTTTCTTTAAAATTTATTCTGTTCATTTGCTATTTGACAATTAACTGATATTTATAGTAACTAGTCAAATATTTAAAGCAAGCTTTTAAACAAAAAACTTTAATAATTGTTACCAGTATCAGACTATGTTTTTTCAGCATCTATGTGTGACATTAGATTAGAATTATGGGATTACCACTTATTTCCCTTGTATTATTTTGTATATTTTAGTTATTAATCAATTATATAAGAATTTAGTTATTCATTGTTATCCAGAATACTAATTTTTTGAAGTGTGTTTTCATAGCATAATAAAAAAAAATTCCTTTTGGTATATTATCATGAGGAAAGTTAACTTTTTATAATTTGTAGCAAAATTTCATAAATATCAATTGCAATTCTCTGGATTATTTTCATTATATAGTTGGAATGGTAACAAAACCAGCAAATGAGCAATCCCAGGACTTCTCAATACACAATGAAGATTTTCCAGCATTACCTGGTTCCAGTTATAAAGATCCAACATCAAGTAATGATGACAGTAAATCTGTAAGTAACTGAGAATTATCTATGTGAGTTACATAGTTTTTTTCCCTTCAGATTTCTCTTATATTAATAGTTTTATAGTCTATATTAAGGATATATTAAATGCTATTAGAAAATTATTTATTTTGAATATCTATAGTAATCTAACTTCTGAAAACTGTGGAAAACCTTTGTAACGTAGAAGATAGCCTATTTTTCTCCTATTTCATATAGGTTTGCAAATTTCTGTTGAACTTCTCAGAGTTAATGTAGACTTTTATTGTAGTCCCTGTCAGCTGGATCCCATGAAGTTTGATATTATAGCCTTCTAAGGAGCTGTGTTTTTCTTGAGTAAGTTTTCTCCTTGAAGAATCTTTATACACATTTTTATTCCTGTGTTGATTCAACCAACTCAGCTTCCTGTTTCTGACTTAACAATTGTGTTTATTTCTTCCACATTTCAATGAAAATAGTGCTTTTTTGTGTTTGTGTGATGGAAGGTGTATATTGTTGAAATAATTGATACAGAAGATTATTGGGTAAGAATTAAAATAGATATGAATTGTAAGATTCATATATTCTGATTTACCTCGGAGGTTTTTTTGGTGCTATTTTAGGTAATATACTGTGTTTAGTTTGTCTTCTAAATGAAAGTATTGAGAAATATGACTTCAAGTGTATCCTGTAACAAACAGTTCTAAGATACAGAGATGGATTTTTTGGTCTGTGACTGAAGATCTAAGATAAATAAAAATATTTTCCATATATTTCTTGTCCTTTAAATACTCAAAGGTGTATAATACAGGGTTTGTTTGTATACCATGGGACAGTTGTGGAGACAAAAAATTTCATGTAGAACTTGAAAAACAGGTAATAATTTACTGCCAACTTAAATATAATAAAAAATGAGTAAAAAAGTATTACTTTATGAACTTTAAATTTTTACACTTAATAGATTTTAATGTCACATTTAATTTTTTTTAATCTTAGAATTTGAATACATCTGGCAAGACAACTTCAAGTACAGATGGACCCAAATTCCCTGGAGATAAAAGTTCAACGACACAAAATAATAACCAGCAGAAAAAAGGGATCCAGGTGTTACCTGATGGTGAGGCTCTGTAGAATATATCAAAGATATTATAGAATTTATTTATTTATTTCCTTTTTCCTAAAAGATAGAAACGACTATGTTTTTCTTATCCAGGTCGGGTTACTAACATTCCCCAAGGGATGGTGACGGACCAATTTGGAATGATCGGCCTGTTAACATTTATCAGGGCAGCAGAGACAGACCCAGGAATGGTACATCTTGCATTAGGAAGTGACTTAACAACATTAGGCCTCAATCTGAACTCCCCCGAGTAAGTTTTTTTATTTTCTTCTTTATTTGTGTGTAACACATCCCTACACTTTTTAATGTATGTGTTCAAATTGTATCATCTTCTACCACTCCTAGTTGCTGGTATCTGCTGACTCTGGGTCATCCCCTCTTACGTTAGTTGCTGGATCACTCTTACTTTATAGTAATATTCCTCTTGAAATTTGGCAGTTTCTATATACACACATATATAGTCTTTCCTAAACCCTGAAATCCCAGCTTCTTGAATTTCTCTCCGCCAGAAATTTTACCCTTCATGATCCCTCAGCCGCTCACCTCTAGTCACCCCTTTGACTTTGTCATTTTTGATAACCTTAGTTTGTCTGTAAGATGGTCTGTGCCGCCATGCCACTTCCTGTTTTCCATTTTCTTAGTTGTTTTTGTCTGTCTCCCTCCCAATCCACCATCCTCAATCAGAAAGTAAGTTTCATGTTGTTGATGATCTTTGTTTTGCTTGCTAATGTATAAGTACCTAGTGCCAGGTATATAATAATAGATACTTTGTAAATGTTTGCTGAATTTGAACTTTTGTTTATAATTACTTTTTTATTGGCAATAAAAATGGGAAAGTAATTTTACTTGAAGACATCGTATTAATGAACTTAAAGCATTCTTGAGTTTGAAGTAGTAATTTATATATACAAATGTGCATATATGGATGTATATTTTTTAACCTTGTTTCAATTTCCTGCTGTGTAAGTCATAGTAAAACCAAGAAAAGAAATTGGAAGTTTGAGGATGCACATCTTAATATATTAAATCATTGTTTTTCTTGATTTCCTAAAATAAAATTAGAAATCTTTTTCTACTTTGGACTTCAGAATGGTTTTTTTCCCCCTTATTCAGAAATCTCTACCCCAAATTTGCATCACCCTGGGCATCTTCACCTTGTCGACCTCAAGACATAGGTAGGATAACCTGTTTTTGTTTAGACCTTTAAAAAATGTATTTGTAACTGAGAATCAGTTAATAAGGCTTTTTTCATTTTATTATCCAGACTTCCATGTTCCATCTGAGTACTTAACGAACATTCACATTAGGGATAAGGTGAGTGTAGTTTATTATTCTACTCAGTCAGCATGAATTTATCTGTTTTTAGGTGCTGTTTTTCAATTCTGACAGCATAGTTTTTGAAATAATTAGCAGTGGTCTCAGGGGTATGTTTTTGTATGTCCATTTTGTTGTATGTAACAATTTAATTTCTATTTTTGTTTATAATCTTGTGTCTTGATGAGGTTTGGGTTATATTTCTTAAATATTTTAAAAACAATGTTAGGACCAGTAAAATCTTTTTTATAATTGTTAATAACAGGGTGTAACCGTAACCACAGTTGATGGGAACAAAGTAACATGGAAATTTTGATAAATTTCCTCCCGATATTTTCATTTTATGTATGTATCAATGAGAAAGATTTTTCTTTATGAATACTACAGATACAATGTTTTTAATGAAAAAAATACATTTTAAAGCTATTATTATCTTTGACTTTTTTTGGTTCATTTTCTATTTTTAATTACCTGAATTTCTAGTTATAGATAACTGTTAAGAGTTTACAGCTTTAATCTTTTTATTATTATTCTAAGAAAGAAAACACTTCTGCTTTAGGAGACTAGATTTTGGTCATGTGAAAGGATATGTATAGTTTGTTAAAAATTATATATTTGTGTTATGTGTATAAATATGTATAATATAAATATAAATAGTGTCCTGCATCTGTACCATGCAGTTGTGTATCAAATGGATGTTGACGTTGCAGATAGACAAGTAAAGAGAAACATGTATTTGTCAGTATGTCTTTTAATACTTGAGTAGATGGAAGACAAGAAGTATGAGATAGAGCTAGTTTTTTCTGGTTATGGATTATGTGATTTGCTGCCACTTCCACGGTAACACTCATTTATTGCTCCAATTACTTGAGGGTTGCAGAACCTTTTCTCTAACAATTTAAGAAATAATGCTTTAAGATAATTTGTCACATTGAAGACTGTTGCTTGAATGGGGATAATATGAAAGGAGAGAAAAATGACATTCAAAGAATGTGTAACAATAACTAAACAAACATTTAAATACAAGTGTAGATAAAGAGATAAAAAAATATTTCTTTTAATGTGAGAATTTGAGACTATTGAACTTGTGTTTGATAGTTTGTTAGGCAGTTGTTTCTCCTCTGTGGAGTGACATGTAGAGTAGCCATCTTTTGGTTATCCATTTAAACAAAATAAAGAATGTATCCCATTGTGATTTTTATACTTATCTATCTGTGTTGTGCTAAAAGTACATAACCATTTTGTGAATCACTGTCAGATGTAAATTCAGTTAATACTTAAGGTTTGTATGTATCAGGCACTCTACAAAGTGCATTCACATTATCACTTAATTTCAGTTACATTTTTAGTAATCCTTGTTGGTATCGTTAACTACATTTTATAATTGAAAGGTCAGAGACATTAAAGAACTTGGATATGGTCATATTAGTAAGCAATGATACTAAGACTTGAATGTAAGTCCTTTTTTTCTGGACACAGTATTCCACTATTACTGCCACATTGATTATTAACATATCCTTGAGTAAGACAGCATTAGAGCTCGCTCGGGAAGTTTTATTTAGCTTTTTCCTCCTGTTAATACATAAAATAGATATATTAGAAATAATTGTTCAATGAGTTTAGTCATTCAAATGATGAAACTCCCCTTTAAAATTGTATAACTTACCTCTGTAATCATGTAATGGCAGTTATCTGCTGCAAAGAGGAGTTTCTGTTTTATCTTTACATTTTTACTTTAGTGGAATCAGTTATATGTTAGGATTTTCAAACTCATTTTACATTTCAGAATAATTTATCTTTTCCAGCTGGCTGCAATAAAACTTGGCCGATACGGAGAAGACCTTCTTTTCTATCTCTATTACATGAACGGAGGAGACGTATTACAACTTTTAGCTGCAGTAGAGCTGTATGTTCAAAGTATTTTTAAAAACTTTTGTGTTATGATAGATCTTGTTTATTCTAAAATATTTTTTTAATGACAATGCCTGTAGTTTTTGTCTTTGTTTTTAGAACAGAAATATTCATCAAGAAATTTAAGTTGTTTTGCTTTTAGCTATATACATAAAAAGCATTTTCAAACGTATAACCCTAAATTTGTAAGAAGTCAGGATCAGCTTGATTCATGCATTTGGTAAATCTGATTTTTATAAATAAATGAAGTATAAGATATGGTTCATAACTGTGGGTCATCTTTCTCCTTGTGGAACCACTTAATGCTAATGACAGTGAATTTCATCATTTATTATATATATTGAGCATTACAGGGGCAAGGCACTGTGCATATTTCTTGTGTATTTTGAAGTATTGATAAAATGAACTCCATAGTTATTACCAGAAGCCTATTGGCCAACTTAAATAAGCTAGTATTAAGAAATTGGTCCATTGAATATATTACGTTTCTGAGCATTTCTGTTTTTACCTGATGCTCTAAGAATAAAAATTTTGTGTCATTTTTTTATGTCCAGTTGGTAACATTTTGTTAGCAATAGACTATTCTATTAATCGTGTTTACTATAAAGTGAATTGTTACCAAAAACTTATGACGTAATAATCGGGAGATATTATTAACATTTCTACAAATGGCATTGGATCAGATACTTTTAAAATGTAAAATTCACTGTGTTGGTAATAAATTTTTTTTAATTCCTCAATTGAGAATTTGGTTTTTTCCATGTTTTCCCTCATTTTTTGTAAGATAGCATTTGTTACTTGTTCCTTTTGATTTACTCCATACGTAAATAAATTCATCAGTCATTCATTCATCCATCACTGGCAGTTCTGTCTCATATCTTATTTATGTCTAAAAATATATAAACATATATAAAATATATGTCTAAAATAACTCCTCATTGTATTGATAGGAAGGAATTTGTTTGCATGGAGGTTTGTTCTACCAGAGACATTTTTTGTGGTACATTTACCTCCTTTGGATGTTACTTCCCTGGTTTACAGGTGGTGTAAACTGTCATTGATTCTTAAGTGAATAGTAATGGATGTCCTTTGGGTTATTGAGAATTTAGGATCAATGAGATCTGAATAAAAAATAAAAATAATAGACTTATTAAGAATTTTTAAAATATTTTTGAATTTGAAATTAGTTACAAATTTTATGTGAATTTAAGTAGTTAATTCAAATAGGCTTTGCGTTTAGTTTCTTACAAAATAACAAATAGTTGAGATTTTTGTTTGTTGTAATAGATATCTTGATTTTTATTGAATATTAAGAACAAAAAAGGAGTGAAGTTTCTGGAACACTGGACCTTATTTTGGTCTGCCAAAGTTTTTATCACATTGCTCATAGAGCTTTTAAGATCTCATTTTGTTTGCATAAAAAATTTCTTCAGTTAAATAAAGATGTGTGTATTAATTAAAGAGTGTGGTTTTGGGATAAATTTTTTAAAAGTCTTTTCCTATATTTATTTTACTAGGTTTGTATTTAATAACAATAAAAATCAGGGTAAAGAAGCATCAATATTCATATAGTTATTGTGTTGATTATTTTCTGAAAAGTGTTTTACAAGATGTAGAAAATGTTTGATGTGAGCCAAAGGGAAAAATTAATTGTCTTTTTCTCTTAAAAATTGAAGTTTTAACCGTGATTGGAGATACCACAAAGAAGAACGAGTATGGATTACCAGGGCACCAGGCATGGAGCCAACAATGAAAACCAATACATATGAGAGGGGAACATATTACTTCTTTGACTGTCTTAACTGGAGGAAAGTAGCTAAGGTATATTTTTTTCCGTGTGCAAATGTGTAAATGTATAAATCTAAATTTTAATAAGAAGTGTCCTCTTTTATCTGTTTGTATGTACCAGTACATCCATTCTGATAATGTGCCAGATATTTGCGGGTCCATTGTCTCCACCTCCTTGGCTTGTTTTAAATTCTGCGAGAGTATCTGGAAGTAGTTCATTTTACCTGTAGTTTAGGAAAATGATTGAACTTGGTAAGAAATTTTGTAATTTTTCACAAGCCTTGGTGACATTTGAAATATTTTTGTGTCTGCTCAGTTGTAAAATAAAGATACCCTCTTGCAATCTCGGTCATGTATTCTTATATTATTATTACTTTAAGCAAATATGAGATTTTTTTCCTAAAACCAGTATATAAATAGACGTAGACTTTTTTTAAACACTTACATTCATTGCAGGAAATATGGTTGAGTTTTTATTTGCAAGTAAATATAAAGAAAGAAAATTGCAAGCATTAATCATGATTGTTCCTTTGACTAGTATGTGAAATAACTGAGGGGAAGAGGCCAATGGAAAAAGTTGTTTTGGTTTGCAACTTTTCCTCACAAAAACACCTTTCTAACTGTCCCACATGCAGTTTTCATCAGTGCTATAGCATATTACACATTTGTGTTTAGTTCCTTAAGTATGTACTTACTCTACCTAGTAGAAAATATTGTTCACAGTGTCTGATTTCATAACTTCAGGATTTCTCTGAATGCTCTTTCCACTGACAAATCTAAGGATTAAAAATTAAAGAATGAGTTTTGTTGGTTTTGTTAAATTTAAACAGAAAAAACTATTTCTTGACTGTTCATTGGATACTTTTTTAGTGTTTTTTTTTTTAGTCAGCTTTACTAAACTGAAGAGTAAAACATTTTTAAAAGATAGTATAAGATGCTTACCAGATAATTATTACAAAATTTTACATTGCTAAAAGACTTCATATAAAATGTGAAAAAAAAAAAATAGAAAAAGTGAGCCCCCCCCCCCAAAAAAAAGATGATGACAACACATATGAAAGGTTAAACCTTTTCTCATTATTATTATTTTTGGATATTTCTCTAATGGTAAATGTCATTGCTTCTCAGTCCAAGTCTAGATACCACTCTACACTGTACTTGAGTTATTTTAACAATTCTAATATGCACCTCTTGACTTTAAAAGGTAGATTCATGACCTATCCTTTTAGTTAAATACAAATAATTAATTACAAATGGTATACAGGACACTGTGTATATTACCTGTTCTTTAATAAATATAGTGAAGTAGAAAACCATAACTCTTTATCAGGATTTGAATTTAACTCCTATTTCTGCTGTTTATACTTTGACCTTGTACCAGTTTCCTTTCCAAACCTGCTTCCTTTCCCTGGTGGCTCAGACGGTAAAGTGTCTGCCTGCAATGTGGGAGACCTGGGTTCGATGCCTGGGTTGGGAAGATCCCCTGGAGAAGGAAATGGCAACCCACTTCAGTACTCTTGCCTGAAAAATCCCATGGATGGAGGAGCCTGGGTAGGCTACAGTCCATGGGGTCGCAGTCAGACATGACTGAGCGACTTCTCTCTCTCCTTATCTTTTAACTCAAAATGATTTTTGCCTTTTATCATCATGTAGATTAATTGAGATTACACAGGCACACATGTACACTGAGTGCACTGCTTGGCATACGTTAGGTATTTGATACAGGAGAGCAGTTTTGGTAGTTTGTTGTTGTTTTTATCAGTATTATTATTACAAATTATTACCGTAAATCCAGGATGGAGAAATTCTGATTGTTGTTAGGTCAGCCGTTCTAGCTTGCTTCGGAATTATCTGGAGGCCTTGTTTTATCATCTGGCAGGTTGCTGGGCCAACCTGCTTTGTTTCTGGTTCAAGTAAGTCTGTGGGTGGGACATGAGAAGTTCCTTTGCTAACAAATTCCCAATTGATACCAATGATAGTGCTGGTCCTTGGCACCATAGTTAGAGAACCTGGTTCTATGGGAGGAGTATCTTTGGAAGGGGAAAATTCTAATAGTAAATAACTGAAGTTTGTTCTATTCATTGAAGCTTTTTGCTCAAGATCATAAACTATTCCAAACATATGCAAAAAGAAATAGATACTTGCATCAGTAGATGTGTAATTTTAGTTGAACTTTAGTTTGAAATCTGTGAGGAAATCAACTTACATGAAAAAAAAAATCAGTTTTCCAGAAAGAGAAATATTCAGAAACAACTTGGAACATTAATAAGTCCCCTAATTTCCTCAGGTAAATGTCATTTTAAAGAAAATTATATGTGTATGTGTGTCTGTAAAGTAATAATTTTACCCAGCTTTGTCTGATCTCTCCTGTGTAGGTTGAGCATTTGCCTTAACTTTTACCTTTAAAATTTTTAGCTGTGAAGTTGAAAAATAAAACATGAGAAATATCATTATTAAACTATTTTTGAGAAATCTTTCTTAAAGTAATTTGTTGGCCACTTGCACTGATATTCTTCAACAAAATATTTTCATAGTGATGAAAATAAGCAGAAATACTGGTTTCTATCAAGTATTAATATGCAGCTCTCTTCTTTTGATTCTATTTAAAAAATTCATGGACTTAAAACTTTTATGTTTTATTCACAGAATAAACTTTTCACAAAGGCTTCTGAGGTTTTTTTTTTTTTTTTAAGGATGTTTTCACTGTTTTCCTAGAAATTGGATTAGGAATTAAGAATCCCATAGTATATTTATTAACAGACTTCATCAAACTACAGAAAATCCATTGATGTGCCATGTCCCAAGTCAAAGTCCCCATCTGTAAAGTGGTTGTGGTTTATTCACAGGTAAAGAACATGAATTTAATAGCATCAACTGATAAGAAGCCTTCTGTATGAATTAGTATTATAAGTTAATAGCTTGATGTTATCATGGTATTATTGAAAAGTATTGACCTGATCGAGACCGTAATCAGGTTTTCAGTCATACTTAATGAGGGTTCTCTCTTTCATTTCTGCAAATCACTTAATATTTTCAAAGAACTGAAGAACTATAATTTCAAGTAAGGGATTAGATTATTTAAATCAGAAGTATACTTTCTCCCCTAAAATTTTCTATGAGTTTGAGGATACAGCCCCATTATTTATATAAAGAATTTCCTATATGTCAATAATGTATTTTCATAAAAAATTTCGACACTGTAACCAAAAAAAAAGAACACACGCAAAAAAGATTTGACATATTTGCTTATTCTTTTTTAGATAATTATTTGTTGACACAGTGTGTGATCTCTGCTATGTAATTAAGTTGGAATTATTAAATATCCTATTTATTTAAAAATTTGTTATAGTATATATAGTCTTAATGAGTAAGATTTGTAAAATAATTTTATCCACGGAAAATTTTTAGGTGAAAATTGCTTTCTCAAACTATAAAGACTCAAAGTGTCAGAATTCTTTCACGCTGACTTTACCTTACGGATCCAACACTGAGTAGGATTTTTACTGTTTAGGATCCTTTATCATATCATAACCTACTATAAATGTGATTTTTAGTATCTAGAACTCTTTCTAGTCTTTAAACCATTTAACTGTCGTCTACAATTCTTTTTTTCCATTAAAGCAATTATATGCATAGACCTTCGAATACCTAATCTTTGAATATTTAAAAATTTTAAGTGTTCTGTTCTTAAAAGGAATGAAAATTTATGTTCATTTATTCATTAGCCATTAATTATACCTCTGCTGGGAGCCTGGCAACTCAGTAGTAGTCTCAGTATTCTGGGCAGTAGATAGTGATACACAAAACAGACACACTTCTTGCCCCTACAGATTATGCAAAAGTGTGTGTGTGGTGTGTGGTACGTGTGTACATGTAAGATAAACATGTAAAAAAGATATGATCAGTAAAGTTAGGGAACAAAGAAAAAGTTTGAGCTTTATGTCTTTTAAGAAAAATAAAAAGACATAGAAGACGAAAAGATTTTAAAAAGGAGACCAAATTTGATCTCTTTAATTTCTGAATCTGATATATAAGTCTTTGTGATTTTAATTATTATATTTACTCCCTAGGTTTAGACTGATCTTCTAATATGATGAAGTTACTCTAGTTTAAATTCTGATAATACAGTGTAATTCACCAGTGTACAATGATGAGGACAGGACAATGGAACAAAATTTTAATTTCTGTATCTTAGTGGAGTATATGATTTGTCGGCTACAAATAACACTTTTTACCCAATAACTACATATATTTTGGAACTAAAGTTAGCCAATTTTAATTTCTAAAGAATGATACAGCAGGAAGATCCTTTCTCTACTAATTTAGATCCTTATCTTTTGCCAGGTAATAAATTCTTCTAAAACCTAGACAGGGCATCGAGAGAGGGAGAGGGGCCTACACAAAGCGTTAGGGAGGCTGTGTTGAGTGTGACGCTGCTGCTGGTGTTTGCTGAAGTTTTACTGATAAGCAAATAAGCTCAGTGCCTTAGTTAACTCTAAAGTGGACTTTTTAAAAGTCATCACAGTGTGCCTTCCTTTCAGACATTTGTCACTGGACTGATTTTTTTCAACATTATTTCTGGATAGGAGTGTAATTAAGTAGTTTTGGATCTTGGGCTAAAAATAATGTGTTATACTGGAAAAATCACGGACTTCGGTGTCCTACAGGTGTGGATCCTAATCCTTGATCTGCCAGTTATTGTATGACTTGGGCAGGTTACTTATGAGCTTCATTTTCCTCCAGTGCAAAAATGAAAATAGTGATGTCTACTTTACAGTTATGAAGATGAGAATAAAATTAGTTCTGTTTCTAATTTTGACACATACTAGGCTTCTGATACCTGCTATTGCTATAATTCTTATTGTAATATCCTAAAATTTTAAATCTTTGGTTTTATAACTCATGACCTAGGTTTTCATTGTAATAATGAAATTTTCAGTTAATAATGGAAATATCTATCGTAGAATTAATTTGAAATAAAACAGGTAAAATATATTAAGCCATGGTACTGACATTACTTGGCTTTCTTTAGTGTGTAGTACATACAGTGGTTCATAATGTTTTAAATGGAATTAACCAAGATGGTTTGTGCTACCTGAATTCAGGTTGTAGAATTAATAATTTTAGAACCTCTGGCCTTTTGGTTTTAAAAAGGTGTTTTTTTGTTTTGTTTTGTTTTTTAATATACAAAGTTATATTCTTCATCTCTCTTCTTGATCTTGGGGAAGTATGAAGGATTTGCTTTATCATTCTTAAATTTTAAAGCTCATGTAGTGTTTTGAAAGTTTAATTAAAATGAGCTATATATAGTTAATCTTCAAATGTGCCTGTAGCAAAAGCACTGTCAGTTTTGGGGTGGCAGTTGCATCTTTTCAGGATTTGAGGATTGTGAAATGAAAAGTCTGGAGAGGTGTGTGTTTTCCCCAGTTAATGAGCTTAAAATAACTTTAATGTTTGTTTTTTTAAAAACATATGATAAGACAAATTGAGAAATCCTTTATTTCTAAACTTTTTTCATGAAAAAAAAGGTTTTTAAGTTTTATACTTCATTGAAGGTAGCTTTACTTTAAATTATAATTTTAATACTTTTTATTAGCAATACAGTAATTGCTCCCTTCAAACTTTTATTTTTGAGCAAAAAAAATGCATAAAATTTCTGTGTCATAAAATAGATGCTCATGACTAGTCTCTGACTTTTATGTAGAAAGTCTACGTTTTTGTATATATCAGATAGAAACTACAACACATTATTTTTCTTCAAGCTATATTTTACTTACTGGGGAAAAAAAGAGTTGGTATCTCTCTTCATTCGCATACCTTGTAGGTATTTTATTTGTTCATATAGTAAATAAAATATATTTTGAAAAAAATCTGAGATCAGAGGGAGAGGAAATCATCTAAATTTTTAAATTTGGTTTTATAGGAGTTCCATCTGGAATATGACAAATTAGAAGAACGGCCTCACCTGCCATCCACCTTCAACTACAACCCTGCTCAGCAAGCCTTCTAAAAAAAAGACTTCCCTTTTCTTGGGGTATGGCTGTCTCAGCACAATACTCAACATAACTGCAGAACTGATGTGGCTCAGGCACCCTGGTTTTAATTCCTTGAGGATCTGGCAATTGGCTTACGCAAAGGGTCACCATTTGAGGTCCTGCCTTACTAATTATGTGCTGCCCAACAACTAAATTTGTAATTTGTTTTTCTCTAGTTCGAGCAGGGTCTGAATTTTTTTTTCATTTATTTTCTTTTTTTTTTGCCAGCAGACAGACTTGGGTCTGTAAAGACAAGCAAGTACACTGACAGAAGTTTACCATTTAGTTTCTAAAATGTAAAAAAAGAAAACCCACAAGAGACTCAACAGAATTAGACCACAAAATTTGCATTGTTCATTGTAGCACTATTGGTAATAAAATAACAAATGTTTGTGCATTTTTATGTGAAGATCCTTCTCGTATTTCATTTGGAAAGATGAGCAAGGTCTGCTTCCTTCATTTTACTTCCCCTTCTGTTTTTGAAAGGCAGTTTCGCCAAGCTTAACGCAAGAATATCTGACTGTTTAGAAGAAAGATATTGCCACAATCTCTGGATGGTTTCCAGGGTTGTGTTATTACTGAGCTTCATCTTTCCAGAATGAGCAAAACACTGTCCAGTCTTTGTTACGATTTTGTAATAAATGTGTACATTTTTTTTAAATTTTTGGACATCACATGAATAAAGGTATGTATGTACGAATGTGTATATATTATATATATGACATCTATTTTGGAAAATGTTTGCCCTGCTGTACCTCATTTTTAGGAGGTGTGCATGGATGCAATATATGAAAATGGGACATTCTGGAACTGCTGGTCAGGGGACTTTGTCGCCCTGTGCACTAAAGGGCCAGATTTTCAGCAGCCAAGGACATCCATACCCAAGTGAATGTGATGGGACTTAAAGAAGTGAACTGAGACAATTCACTCTGGCTGTTTGAACAGCAGCGTTTCATAGGAAGAGAAAAAAAAAGATCAATCTTGTATTTTCTGACCACATAAAGGCTTCTTCTCTTTGTAATAAAGTAGAAAAGCTCTCCTCACTGCAGTGTTGACTTTGATTTGAAATTGTGAACTTATTTCTTCAACATGAAAAAATAGAGAAGAAAAAGTTTTAGACAACTGAATGGTATGACTGAACAATTTAAAATGCAGTCTTTTTTTTTTTTTTTTTTTTTTTGCTTTTGACAGCTCATTTAATGGAACCATATACCGTTTCATTTGCAGGTTGAAAATTTAGACATTCTTAGTGTTAACCAAGTCTAAACAAAACTATTTTTTAACTGAATAATAACAGCATTAGAAATAAAACTTCTGAACACTCCGTACACCCAATCAAAACACTCTGCTTTTGTGAGTAGTATATAAGAAATTTAATAGACCTTTGAGATATATCTTAAATAATGTACAAATTAAGCCTAAGAGGAGTAGAGTCATCTTTCCCTTCAGTTTGCTTTCCTGATTATTTCACATACACGTTGGTGGGTTCTTTTCCATTTAAAGATAAATATTGAAGTTATGAAGGCAGAACTAGAGATGGAAATTTTCTTTTTAAGCAGTGAGTTTTTATTCTTTAAAATTTTCATTTTTAAGCTACTTTTTCCTATGAAGAATGAATGTTTATTGACATTTACTAAATCATGTTTGAAAATGAAACATATAAACTTATTTGTATATCAGGAATATAAAATGACTCAAGATTTACCTTTTCCTATAAATTTTGAGATATGAGAAACTGACATAAAAATATCAAGATTTTATAATCTTTAGATTTAAACCAAAGCATCTCTTGTGTAGGAAAATGGTACTTATGTAATTTAACTTTTGCGCAAAAAAAAAAAATATTCACAGAGCACACACCTAATTTGACATAAATAAGAATTAAATCCAGAAATCAATTTCTTAAAAGCAGATTACATTTTTTCATAATAATATACTATGTAAAATTAACTTTTCCTACATAATCAAAAGAAACAGGTAGAAAGAAAAAAATGGAAGGGGATCTTTATTCTTGCAAGTATAAACATAACAAGTGTTAACCACTATCATGATTGGGACTCTGAATAACTCACAAAAACAAGATAGCTCATCAAGTGGTTTGTTGGCTCTCTACTTGTTTAACTGCCATATGCAAAGTTTTAAGTGCATATTTTTCCAGTTTTCTGAGTTCCTTTTTACTCTGAATCATCAACATGAGAAAATTCTTACATGTAAACAAACTTTTTATAACTTTTTGATAGCAGAAATTACCATGTTCTTGACTTCAAATCCAAGTTTTAAAATTCTATCTGAAATCTTTAAAGTACTGTATTAAACTCTTTAATACACTGTTATATTCCTTGGTTTTATAATTTGTGGTTACATATGGACAGAAGTTGACCTAAATTAATATTTCCAGTTGCCTTAGATTTAATTCAATTAACTTTTCCCTCTATAACTAGTGACACGTACATTTGTTAAGTAAGTTTTGTGATTATACTATAATTGGCTTTCTGGAACAAAAGCTACTTAATAGTTGCAAAGAAGGTCCTTTCAGCTGTTTACTTTCAGATATATTCTGTGCTGCTTGTGGTGATCCTGTAATATGATAAATTTCACCTTTAGGGATTTTTCACTGCACAGATAGTTTTCACTGGATACAACATTTTAATTAAGAAATGAAATTCTAAATTCTCACAGTATGTAAATTTTTCCAGTTTCCATTTATCTGGTCTTTTCTTTTTTGCCACTGAACTTGGGACACAGTAGGTGCTTGATAAATACATGTTGATTGGTATAAATCTATAGTTCCAATTTGAAAATAAAACAAAGCAGTGGGCTTTGAAATAACTTTTCTGCCATAGTTCCATTTTTAAAAGAATCTTTTTAGGCATTTTCAATTAATTCTCAAAACTTTCAAATTTTTCCCACTCTAGCTAATCCTTCTGAATCTTTCTTCATTCTGAAACCATAGATCTTCCATTCTCTTGCATCTGAGCATGACTGCAAAGGACTCACTTATTTTAACTTAAATTTGCTTAATAGCATCAATCTTGCAAAAAAAATTGCTGAAAAACTAAATGTGTATATGTGTAAAGAAAGAGGATGTCAGTCTTTAATGTTCTCTTAACCATGGTTTGTCTGTGAGTTAACAGAAGATACAGGAATACCTGATCACTGGTTCTAAAACAGTCTCTGGAAAATAATATAAGCCAGACATATCTCAGTGTCTTTAAAACGTAGATCATAATGGCATGTCAGGTTTCTCTCTTTGCTGCTAGTGTTACAGCATCACTGATGAATTAGATCATACCATGAATAAATGACAAATCTAGGAGATGAAGCAAATAAACACATTAAAAGTCAAAATTGGAATCTCAATCCAACCCAGTAGTCTTTTAAAATTACATCAAATAGGATACATTGCACCAGAAAAATTACTTAGTTTTGCACTTTGGTTGCTATTAAAAGAATAAAGGCTGGTGGGATATACATACCATGGCTTAAAAGTTGTTCATATGTAGATCAAATTGTTATTGCCAAAAATACTAATGTAATCTTCAACTACGTTAACACAACTACAGCGCTCAGAATAAGATAGGAAAGTTTGATGTATTTTAAGAGCTACCATGACTAGGGAAGGCAGTAGAAAATGTGACGTGCCTTCTAGCTACAAAGCAACACACTAAGTGTTTTACATGGATTAATATGTTCTATCTTAAGCATAGCATCAGAGGTAAGGTTTTTGAGTATCCTCATTATATGTTAAAATATCATTAGAAAAAAAAAACCCACCAGGAAGAAGGAATGTTTAGCATTAGAGAATAACTTTGGAACCAATAATCTGTCTTCAGGTATCAAACTTGAGCTGTCAGTGAAAGACAAATTTCATTTGTGTAACTGAAGGGCAGAACTACAACTGATAAGAAAGATTTCAGCACAATATTAAAATTTAACTGAGATGAGATTTTGAAGAGTTGATTTGTAAGGCATTAAATTCAACTTCACATGATGTAACCAAGGAGAAACAGGCAGGACAGTGTTCCGTGTATAAGGTAAGGAATTGAACTGGATGACAGTTTCTGTCATTGATTGAAAGCATGTTTAAGTGGGATAATTACTGTATTTCAGCAAACCTAATTGCCAACAATTTTAAGGTACCATTATTTTGTATTTACAAAGGAACAAAAGTAGTTCAATTAGAGAAATCAAAAATTTCAAAATGCCTTGCAGTTTCAGAGATGTCATGTATGGGAAGAATTGAGTTGATGAGATGCACCCCTCAGGAGAGACAACAGACAACTATGGGGAGACATGATAGCCGTCTTCAGATATAAGGAGGATTTAAATGAAGAAAAGGGCAAGTCTCAAACCAGCAGGTGGGAGTTGAGACAGATTTTTGTTCTCTGTATTAAGGTGCCTATCCCACAGTATTAAATGCTTCATGAAGTGAGGCTTCCATCAACAGAGACGTTGAAGCAGAAACTAGATGACTGTCAGAATTGCTATTGAGGCAACTGTCTTTTTGAGTAAAACGTTGGATTTGACAGCTTCAGCTCTTTTCATATGCTGATACTCTTCTTGATCTGAAGTCAAAGAACATGATGTCATCAGGGCTAAAAATTACATACTGAAAACACTGATCTAGTCGAAAATGTGCTCTTCTCTTAGTCATAGGTAAGGTTTACTTTAAATTACTGCAATATCTTGGAAAGATTTAATCAAAAAAGACACTTGCTTAGTTTTGGAGTAGGAACATGAAACAGTAAAGCACAAGAACTAGTAAATCGTGTATATGTGTATATTCCCCAGATTTATCTTATGTTTGTATTTAGTTCTACATTCAGATAAAAGAGTTTTAAATTTTTGAGGTGAATTTCAGCCTGTAATTATACATTGTATTAGTGCACAATCTCCTGTTTTCTGTCACATTGGTGATCACAGAAATTCGAGTAAGCAATCTTATTTTTTATTAATAAAGAAAACTGATCATTAA